TTACCCTGGGACCCGTTCTGGCAGGCTGATTTGCGAGTCTAACCAAGACTAACTCCCCTTCTCTAAATTTAGCAAAGGTAGATGGGAGCCCAAGGGAAGATGCCAGGGTTGGGTTAGACTGGGAAAGGATTGTTCTAGGCCTGAAGGATAAGAGTAATTCGTTAGGTGCTTTGTTAGTCGAAGTTGATGGGGGTGTTGTGATGGGTGAACAGGAAAATGTTAACAGCTTGTATCAGATGTGCTGTAGATATCTGTTTTGATGGGGTCAATGCCACCATCCCACCCAGGTCTTCTAAAATTTTATCAAGAGCCCTTTTGGCGATGCCCACTCCTCTTTCTGCTTGTGCATTAGATGCAGGGTGATAAACAGGACTATGTTTGAGCAGAATGTTTAAGGATGTTAAGAGTTTTATGAATTCTGAGGAATCAAAGGGGGGGGGGGGGCGTTGTCTGAAACGATGGCTGTGGGTAAACAACCCCACATGGCAAAGATAGAGAACAAGGTATTGTTAACGGCAGATGCCACGGTTGTTGGCATGATTTGGCCGTGAAGCCATTTAGAATATGCATCACAAAAAATAAAGAATTGATGCTGTTTATAAGAATAAAAATCGATATGAACTCTTTCAAAGGGGTATTTTGCTAGAGTCCAGGGCATGTAATTTAGTTTAAGACTTAAATTGATTTTAGCACAAGGTAATCAGAATAAGCAAAGGTTTTTAATTTCTGAGTTAAGACCAGGCCACCAAAATGTGGGTCTAGCTAACATTTAAGTTATAACAATTCCTGGATGCCCCATATGCAAAATGGCTAAGGCTTGACTTCTCAAAGGTTGAGGGACGATGACTCGGTTGCCCATCACGATGCATTTTTGTTGAATAGAAAGCTCATCTCTTTGCTTATAATAAGTAGTAAGTTCAGCGTGCTTGGGAAAGGGTTTTTTTGCGGCCAACCGTGGAGAGTGCATTCAAAAACTTTGGCAAGGGTAGGATCGGGTAGAGAGTGTTCAGAAATGACATCTACGGGGATAGGGGGTTTGATAGAGATGTTAAGGTAGTTCAATGCTTGCACAAACATATTTTTGGTTCCAATCTCTGATGCAGCAAGTGGAGTAAACGGAACAAATGTCCTATCAGAGAATATAAATAAGTTATAATGCACATCATACCTGTACTCTGATTGCCGAGTACAATCTTGATGTCGGAAAAATTACAGTATAATATTTCCACAAACTTATAGAAGTTTAGAAGAGTTATACATACACAAGTGTAGAGCCTTCTTCTGGAATCCCTGAAAATCGTTGTCTTTATCCTCTTCTGATTGTGGTACCTGAAAAAAATACAGTGCTGGATTATTAAGATAACATAGAAAATACAACTCAGGGACACTACATTATAGAGGCTTACATGCTTTTTCAGATTTTACTGAGTTTTCCAGCTCGATATTTAGCTGCTGCAGCAGCAGAATTAAGGGCTCAACCGGACAAACGCTGCTCCGTTAAGGCATGAGTTATTCATACCAATACGTGCTTCAATCCTTTAGTAGAAAGCACTCCCGCAGTTAACTTTAAGGGCCGCTGGACGGGCCAACTGACGGAGCTGCTATGGTCAGATCGGACTACATGGTGCGGTTGAGGTCCGTAAGCGGTAAAATGTATGATGGGGGTTCCCACGAATGGTCGCGCAGGCCAAGCCTGCGTGGTGCGGGTCTGGCTTGCATGCAAGTCTGCACGTACAGACCTTGGGTTGACTGTAGCCTTGGCCGCCGGCCGCAGGGGATCGCTGCGATCGCTGATCGCCCTGGCTCTGCTCGGACCGCCCGGGCCGGCTCTAGCTCCTAAAATACTAGAGAAAGAGGGTGGGCCAGAGCGAGCTGATTGTAGCTGAAGGTTCAAGCTATCCGTCGCTGTTAATAATTTTCCGATCCGACCCATACAACCCGAACGCCGCTATGGCAAAGATTGCCTGCTCTAGTGTGCAATGTGCATGTCCCGTTTGCGTCCATTTTTGTACGCGGGCCGGGGAGGCGCATGCTCCCTCTACGCCCACCCCCCCTAATTTTTAGAGTTGAGGGGTTGTGCCGAACTACTACAATGATGAACGCATTAAGACTACAAATGAAGTTAAACACATCCCCTAGTGCGTATGTCGAGGTCTACCTTTAACCGCTTGATGCCACTGCTGAAACTAGAAGCACCTTCTTACGCTGCAACAGAACTAAGCCCGCTACTGGTGGCAGAAAATAACAGCAAAGCGGCTGTGGTCACACCTCGCTACATACGACCTCTGTTATAGACGCTGAAAGTGAGGTTTCTTCAGCTCACGCTGGCAGCTCGCACAGAGCAACGTGCGCGTCTTTCCTCAGTATAATTTTGTCGTTTTGATAGAATCTGCAGCCGGGCCCGGTGGCCCAGTTCGCCCGGCTTTTAAAGTCATATATGGAAGAGAGCGCCGCGAATGGAAACAAAATGGTGGAGCGCGGGCAGAGCCCCGTCATCCCTCTCCCCGCAGCCCCCTCGCCCTGCTTCGACCCTTATCTCTATCTCCAATAGCAAGTAGCGTACCACCCACTCACCACCACATATATTTCATTAAGTATGACCTCATGACTCCTATACAATATACTCCCCGCCCGCGCTCAACTCTCCCCTCTTTACGCCTCTCAACTCCCCCTCCTTACTGCCTCGCTTTTCCTCTCTCAGGTACAGTACTTTGCCCTCGCCACCAGGTGCGTACCACTACCCCCCACCCCTTCCCCCCTTTTCCCTCACCTCTCGCCTACCTGCCACCTTGCGCGCAACTCTCTCCACCTCCATTCTAGCCATCACCTGGGAGGCAGGCCTCCCCCCTACTTCCCACGCACGATGGGTGGCCTACCCCTCGGGTGTCTCTCCCGTGTCGTGGGATCGCTGACACGGGTGGCCGAGACGCCCGAGAGGCAGGCCACCTCACCGGACAGCACCTGCAACATATGTTATGATAAATAAATGCCACAGAACGATGATGCTGGGTATTTTTTAGGCGTAATATATGAATAAAACCGAAACTTGATACAGCCCCCCGCCCCAAAGCCGATGGAAGTGCATGCTCTGATATCGCTTGGAATCTGCAGGCTCTTGACAAAATGGGCACCTCGATCAGCAGGATGATGACATTTGTGCTTCCCCCGCTGGAGACCAACATAGCAGAGGACATCCCCGAGCTACCACTCCGCGACAAGAATTGAGAAAAGGCAATGAACGACCTACTTGTAAGAGATAGGGGTGAGTTTAACAAAGTTGTAGGTATTTGTCAGTCTATATAGCACCCATTCACAGAGTGTTTGCCTGTAATTGGACATCTCATGAACTGTGCATGTCTTTGTTCCCAGGTTACGTTCCTCTACGGACTGGGGGGTACAAATGCAAAGGATGTGGTGTACTCCGCACTGTAAAAAAAATCCACCTTAATTTTAATAACACATGTTTTGAAGCAGTTTACAAAACAAATTTGCTCTTAAATTTAAGAACAAAAAATTTCTTAAAATTCAAAACATGTTTTGAAAATTAAGAACGTGTTATGAAACGCCAAAAATGCTTTTCTTTTCCAACCTAACGCAAATCTGGAAAATATTTAGTTCATTCCCCTAGGGGCAGATGTTTACACCAAACTTCCCACATATTGAAGATGCTTACCTTACCTTACCTGGATGGATGCGAACCTCGGACCTTTGGGTTCGGATCCTGACGCCTTAGACCGCGTGGCTGTCGGGACATACCTGTGAGGGGAGCGCTCGCACCCGACCTTATGCGGCGCTCCGTCCAGGGGCATTCCCAGAGTAGCTATGTGCTCGGTCGGACGGCGTATGTTTGTTAACTTGCTTTTTTGACATATGGCAGTGGCATAGCTACATTACGCCTATCTTAATTCGATATGTTGTTCACCCAATACTATATTGAACGCCAAAATTCCATGTACAGTGGTCAACAGCTACATGACTTTTAAGAAGTGTTCTGAATGCTAGTATTAAAAGTAAGAATGGTTGTGACTTTTCAACACAATTTTGTCAAAACTAAGGAAAACTTTTAAATTTAATAAACTTGTTATGAAATTTAATGACCCCTTAGTACAATTGAGAATTTCATCAGAATTCTCATAACCTTGTTTGCAATATTAAGAAAACTTCTTAAATATCATAATCTGTTATTACGTTTAAGAACAACTGATAATGTTATTAAATTTAAGAGCTATTTTGCTCTGAAATTTCAGAATATTTTTTACAGTGCGTGCTGAAGACCCTGCTCACAGACCAATTCGCCTCTTCGAAGAGCATGAGTTTCGGTTTTATTTATATATTACGCCTAAAAATACCCAGCATCATCGTTCTGTGGCATTTATTTATCATATGTTGCAGGTGCTGTCCCGTGAAGTGGCCTACCTCTCGGGCGTCTCGGCCACCCGTGTCAGCGATCCCACGACACGGGAGAGACCCCCGAGGGGTAGGCCACCCATCGTGCGTGGGAAGTAGGGGGGAGGCCTGCCTCCCAGGTGGGTGGGGAGAGTTGCGCGCCAGGTGGCAGGTACGCGAGCGGTGAGGGAAAAAGGGGGGGGGGGGTACGAACCCGGTGGCGAGGGAAAAGTACTGTACCTGAGAGAGGGAGAGCGAGGTAGTAAGGAGGGGGAGTTGAGAGACGTAAAGAGAGGAGAGTTGAGCGCGGGCGGGGAGTATACTGTATAGGAGTCATGAGGTCATACTTAATGAAATATATGTGGTGGTGAGTGGGTACACTACTTGCTATTGGAGATAGAGATAAGGGTCGAAGAAGGGCGAGCGGGCTGCGCGCGGAGAGGGATGACGGTGCTCTGCCCGCGCTGCTCCACCATTTTGTTTCCATTCGCGGCGCTCTATCCCATAAATGACTTTATAAGCCGGGCGAACTGAGCCCGGCTGCAGATTCTATCAAAACGTCTAAATTACACTGAGCGCCGAGAGAAAGGTTTGCTAGTTCCCAGCATAGGTTGATGCGGAAGCCATGCCCGGGCCCCATGCGCGATGGCTCTACCTCGGTCTAGTGTGAATCTCGCATCTGATGCGGGATTCACGCGTACCGGCTGCCCACACCTTGTAAATACCCCATGCTTCGTACGAGCATCTGCAACGCTCGACACTAGCGCAGCCTACGGCCATGCCAAGCATTCCTCGGCTGGCCTAGCTGGCTGGCTGCCTGGCTGCCGGCTGCTGGTCCAGACTCGTCACTCGCACTCGCTCCGGTCCGCACGTCAAAGTCGTCGAGTGTGGAGACTGGTCTTTGCCGTATTTCGCTGTTTTGATCCGCGGTTTGATTAACGTAAGTGCAATAATGAGTGTACGCGATCTTTTGCAAGAGTAGGGTTTACCCGAATTGCTTGAAAAGTTTGCATGTAAATCGCTGAGAGAATGTTTTGTAATTGCATCATCATTGTCGAGTGTTCACTGTGTTGTTTTGGTTTTATGATAGCTGTCGACTTGACCACTTTATTTGAAGTCGACGGAGATTTTCTGGACCACTTGGTACCTGACATTAACCTAAGATGGAGTTTTGTTTGCCAGCGTAAATCGCACAACCAGAAAATTACATCTAAAAAGGCCTCCCCATCCCCGCCGAGCACCGACGGCACCAACAACCACCATTAACTCTCGACCCGGCTCTTCGCTTTCATGTTCATCAGTATTCATGTCCCAGGTAATGTTCACTATTATACTATTCGGTGCCCGCATCGTTGTTATTGTAATTCGAACTCTGAACGGATTTCAAAACGGTTATGAAAGCTTAACGTGACTGTGCCGTGCAGGTTAGAGGTTAGGTTGAGCAGTCCATTTGATATGTATTACATTTTCATTCTAGGACATTTCCAACGAGTCAGCGTCGTCCATCGACTTCCAGTTCTCTCCTCCCGGTTCTTTCACCGAGCTTGTTGAGGAGGTACAGTATCTTTGAACTCGTCTTATCCGAAAGTATATGTTGACATGAAAGTTACTGACTTTGTCTAATTTTTTTCAGAACATTGTTGTGCCACGTAAAAGAGAAAGGGGCCAGGAGCCGAAGCAACATCTCAGCAGTGCCAAGAGGCAGCTTGTGGATGTTGATTCTTACATTCAGACTGCAACAATTGTTTCCCAAAACCTGACCGACGTTTCTAGCATTGTGAGTGCAGAAAGTGGGTATTTAATCTGTCTTATATTATTATACGGATGCTTGACTATAACCTTTCTTTAATTGCAGGATCTGGAGAGTGTATGAAAGGGGACTGTTTGTGGAAGGTGGATAATCCAAACATTTGAAGAAAACAACATTGTTTCAGATGAAGCTAGATCAGATCTCTTTGACATTTTAACATCTACACTGATGAAAATAACTGTCACCTGACGACATACTGCGGGATTGACACCCCTGTTATGTGACAGAAATGTTGTTTTCATTTGAACACTCTCGAAACTTGTGATATTCGGCCCATGTTGGCTCACAACAAAAACTACTACGTATTACTTTGCTGTACATTTACAAGAAAAGAGAAGTTAATTTTGTTAGCAGCACATTTCGTTCCAATACAGGAGACTCGTATTGTTACAACTTTTTTTTTTACAGGAGCAAAACATAGTAACTGCTTTTGGTCGGAAACTTTGTTTCCGAGATTTTCATGAACGTTGCTTTTTTACAGTAACGCCTGTAAAAATCCAGTATGTGCTGCTAACAAAATTAATCACATTTACGCTGTAAATTTACAGCAATTTTTTTAACAGTGTAAGCTGATGAACATAACAATATCGTAAGTTTTTATTTTGACATACACGCCTTCAGTAAAAATTTTAATGTTAATACATAATTATTGATCAAATATCATTTATATTCTGTGCAGTCCTACCCCTGAAGAATATGAAGAAATTGTTAAAGAAGTGCAAAACCTCTTTCCAAATGAAAAGGTAATCTCTATTTTCAGCACTACTTCCATGATGAGACTAAAAATTCTTTACTTTCATTTTCACAGCATGTTTGTGTTTCTTTGTTGAAATAGGATGAGGTGTACTATATGAGCGCCCACTCAAATCAGGTAGCCATCAGAAGCAAGCAAGAGGAAGATTTTATGACAGGTTTCGTAGCAAAAAGGCAAGATATGGCCTCTGTTCAGTGAGCAAGAAAAAGCAAGTAGTTGACACTCCAGCCAGCACTAGCTGTAAGTAACAGTGGGTGTGTCTTCAAATTATTAGACATGACATTTTGCTGTCAACAGTAATGTCAAATTGTTTCTTTTTGCAGGTGACTGGGTTTTGAGTGAAGAGACTGCTCTGTCAGTGGACTTCCTGGCCAAGTGGCAGGAGCCAATCGAAGAAGTTAATCAGCAGTGGGTTGAGCTGCTCCACACCGCCTCCGATGGTTAAAGGAAAAATATGTTTGTGACAGAGTAGCTGAATATCTGCAGTTAATGCCTCACCTCAAGCATCCTGAAAATGGACCAAAACTGGTAAGATTTGCATTTGTAAGTAATAAATATTTAATTTGACCTGAGTGCTCATTGAAATGTTGTTTTATTCTTCACTTATGTGTTGTTTACTCGTTGTTTAGATTGGCATTGACTTTGACCTGTCCACACTCGGGGAAAATAAGATAGATCTCTTGGACATGAAATTGGATGGTTTCATCAAGAATTTGAAAGTTCTAGTGTCTAAGAAAAAAATAACTAGCAAGCAGGACTCTGAAGGCAAGGAAATATTAGCCCTACTGAAGAAAAAAGATACTAATGGTATGTTCTTTGACAAAAATTTTGACATGCAACCTAAATTAACTGTGCTAATTCAATTTTTATACTCATTTTTCGTATTGAGAAACAGAAGCCCTACTGGTAGAAATTTTGCCATCTATGTTAACTTGCAATAGGTTTGTTACCGTTGGAAATGGTTACAATGCCGTTAAAATCAAACTGAGTTTTGTGGAAACACGGTTATCTTTTGTAATTAGAGTCAATGTAAGTTTAATTTTATTTTGGTAGTCACACTTGCATTGTTACAGATAACGAATATAATAACCGACTAATTGTTCTCTTTTTGTTCACAGGCTGCTGGAGATTAAAATCGAAACATTTGCCAGCTCAAGGAGCGTATGGTTAAGGTTGGTGGCAACCTTCAGCCCTTCAAGGCAATTGTTGGTGAACGGCCACACTTCACTGCAATTTATGTTTGTCTGGACTCTCATCTGTTTAAAGTGAAATCCATTCGAGCAGCACTTGACTTGAACTTCAAAACATTTTATTCTCTCAATTGTGATTATCCTGCACAAGGTGAGCACTTATGGCAGTTCATTCAAAGATATGTTTTTGACATCAAAGTGCCCAAGAAACTTCACATCCATGCTGTCACCACATTCATGCAATCCCTTGATGCACTGAAGTAATAATATTCTATGATCAATTCTCCAAAATGTTTTGTTGTTGTGTCTGTACTAAACAGTTTAGTGACACTACCCTTGGACGATCCTGTGTGGCAATTCTATTGTGTAATGGTTTCTATTTTAGACATATTGTCTTGTCCTGCTGTTACCCCCCTGAAATTAAGTTGTTAGAAAATCTCATAGCACAACATCATAAGTTGTATCTAGAATTGTTTCAACAACATTTGAAACCTAAACATCACTATATGATTCATTACCCAATCGATGCCTCCTAACGACAAAGTTCGATCTTCAGCGGCACGGTTACACAAAGTTCTATCTTCAGCGGCCCGGTTACACAAAGTTCGATCTGCGGCGGCCCGGTTACACAAAGTTCGATCTACATTCCGGCGGTTTCTGCCGCGCAGCCTAAATGTATTCATATTCTCGTCAATATTGGAGATAGAAGAAAAGTGAAAACTGCTTCATGTTTGTAAAATATCAAAGAACAACATACTCCAAAGAAAAAATTGAATGCTATCACAACAAGACTGTAGTAGAGGTCTAAACTTGCGGCTTCGGCGAGCGGCGAAAAGCAGATCGAACTTTGTGTAACCGTGCCGCTGCACATCGAACTTTGTGTAACCGTGCCGCTCAAGATCGAACTTTGTGTAACCGTGCCGCTGAAGATCGAACTTTGTCGTTAGGAGGCATCGCAATGTTGTTGAGACTTTTCGGTCCATTAAATAGAATCTGGTGCATGAGATTTGAATCCAAACACCGAGAGGGTAAATCATATGCGAAGGTGACCTCTAAAAGAATAAATTTGCCAAAGCCAATAGCTACTAAACACTAGCTCAAAGTATGTTGTCGATTCATGTCACAATGTGGTCTTCTTCTTCGATTAGACAATCCTACTTTAGATAGTTGTTTAAGAGAGTTGTGAGAATTTCAGTGACTTTAGTGGTGTTGTACATGATTCTTTAAAGTTTTCAAAGAGAGTGAACTGGTTGTCTGTTAACAATACTAAATATTCAGTTGGTATGGTGTTGGTGATAGAGCTAGGAGGGGATTTTCCTGTGTTCGGCAGTATTCACTCTGTGATCATTGATGATCAATCCAAAGACATCCATTTTTTGGTTAGTGAAATGTCTACTGTTTATTTTGATGAACATTTTTATGCCTATGATGTTAATATTGATCATGTTAAGTGGCACATTAAATCTTTAGATGACCTTGTCCCGTATCGACCTTCGGTCGTTCGCAGTTTGACTGGTAAGAATTTTGTTCCAAGTCATCACCTCCTCTAGTGGTGCTATAATTCTATT